CCCTTCCTCCCACTCCTTCACACCCTGTCTCATCACCACCAAGGCTTCTGGAACCCACTCCCACTCCTCCCACCCTTTTAGAGTCAGACTACAACCCTCATTCCAAAAATAAACTGGCATAGAGAGTGGCCAGGAAAAACAGCCTGGGTATTTTATACTTGCATCATTCAGATGGGGGAATGCTACTTGGACAGATTGGTCATCACGTTTTTTTTTTTACAAATTCCCCCACAAATAAATAATTCCAGAGTATGCCCAAATGACTCTGGACTCTTGACCCAACATGAACATGCTTTTGCAATTACTTGGCACCACCAACTGTATGCTACTTAAATTAAGTAACAGTCACCAGGTTATTTTTAGGCCATAGCAACACATACACACAGACACACATACACGCTCTGCTATACCTCACTTGTTGTTTGTACTCCTTTAAAAGAGTAGCCAAAAATATCTTTTCATAGGCACTATCACTTCCATTTAATTAGTAGTAATAATGAGCTACATTTTCGAACTGTTTACCATGTACAAGAAACCACACTAAACACTTTATACACATTAATTCATTTAGTTCCTACACTAACACTATAAAATTGCTACGGATACATCCTATTATTGGCAAACAAAATTTAGGGACTAAAATATGAAGCAACTTGCCCAAGGTCTATGCTGGGAAAGGGAACCACCAGATCTAGACTTCTGCCTTAATTTCTCACTGTTACTACAAGGCCAGCATTTGGCATTCAATCTTGGATGTTAATCAAAGGCTCAGAATAGCAACAGTGAGTTTGTGAATGTAGATAGATGTGTATTTCATGTATTTCCAAACCTTTGAGAGACAAAGTAGAACAGGAATGGAAAACGTAAACTCCCAAGGTCTCTGAGCATGACCATCTACCTTGTCCCTTAACTAAATATTGCTTACAAATTTCTAATTCAGAATTCTTCAGAGCATACTCTATGCTGCTCATTGCCCTAGAGTTGAGAACAAAGTTCTATGGCACAAAAAGCTAACTCCTGAGGACAGCATTGTAGCAACACAATCCCCACGAGTGCCACTGGAATCCCAGGTGCTTCACTTCCAATACAGCTCCCTGCTAATGTACCTGAGAAAGTGCGAGAAAATGGCCCAAGCACTTGAGCTCCTGCCACTCACAGAGGAAACTCAGAAGGCATTTTAGGCTCCTGGTTTTGGCCTGGACTAGTTCCTGGCTGTTACAGCCATTTGGGAAGTGAACCCTAGACGAAATATTCTCTCTCCCCCCTATTTCTAATACGGCCATTCAAATGATGACAAATACATCTTTAATTAAAAAAAAAAAAACTGACTTCCTCTGTGATCAATTTCCCCTACATATCAGTCTCTGAAACGACTGCCTTCACCTTCTTCCCTTGTTCCATTGAAAGCACCTTTGGTGCAGAGCAGGCCAAAGATTGTAACAGTTGGTCTGTCAGTCAGTCATCAGGTTAAAAAAAGTGCCAAGCAAGTACAGACCTGGGCTCCACCATCCCACCGTGGGAGGGGAAGACAGAGACATAGGAGAGGCTGTGCAAGAGGTTCCAAGGGCCCTTCAGCCCACCCACTCTGAGGGACAGGCCCCTCAGCCAGATAGTCTCAAAGGGATTCTAAGTTTGAAAAACACTCAAAAATGGGTACTTCATGCTTAAGTATTTAAGAGGGAAAAGGTCATTCTATATTATACCATAAAGTATTCTCCATTTTGACTAATTTCTCTGTACTATAAAACACAAAAACAAAAACATTTTAACAGAAAGGAAGAGAGAGCAAACATGTAAAGTATTGATACTTATTTAATCTGGTTGGAGAATATGTGGGTATTTAGGTAGTTTGAAATGTTTATACTAAAACGTTTCAAGGGATATCCCATCTTTAGGAAGGAGGTGGTAGTAGACAGCCCCTTCCACCACAGGGAAATAAAACATTTCAGTGATCTCAACTCTGCCAAAAAGAAGGGAATCTTACAAGCATTATGCAAAGGTAGCAGCTTTCATTAAGGAAGAAGGAGAATAGTCTAACTCCTTTACTCCTTTTGGCTAGAAACCCAAGATTTAGTTGGTTAAAAATAAACTGGGTAAAATAGATTGTAAATCTTTTAAAGACTTTGCAAATCTCTAAATATTTATTTGCTGGGGTCACTGCGGGTAGGCTGAACAGAGGCACCGGTCTGATGGCCATTTACTGTTCCGAGGAGGGGGGTAAAACACACTTTCAGACCTGGGTCAGAACGGGGAGGAGACTGTAAATTAGAACAGTAACTTAATCCCAGGGGCTTCTGTGCCTCCGATCAGTTTCTTCCCAGCCTGACACAGCATTACTAAAATGGCAACCCAGCAGCCACACAACTTGACAGGCGGCACCAAAAATGGAGAGCGTGACAGTGAAACAGGAGCGTAAAACCTGGACAGGGAGGGTAGCAACCAGTGTTTACAAACAAAAGCCAGAGGTTCAGCCATGACCTACCCAAGACTGAGCTGAAATCTCTGAAAATAAATTGCCAAGGCCTTAGAAGTTTCTATTTTATATTTAAACTGGCCGTCACCCCCTCCCCAACACACACAATCACCACCACCATCTCTCTCTTGCAAGACCTATCCTTCCAAAATGGTACCACTACAACTCTGGCTGGAATACAATCTTAGGTTTTAAAGGGAGGGAAGACCAAAATAACCCTCAAGGGAGGAGCCAAACCAACACGGTCTGCTTGACCCACTCAAGAACCTGGGAGAAGTTGCTGACTATGGCTTTCAAGAGATGCCCACCTCATCCTTCACCTCCATGTGCTTACACTTCTCCTTTATCCTAACGAAAGCAGATGGAGGGACATTCCCACATAGATCTATACCTTTCCCATCTTGGTTCCAACTTTAGGCCATGCTCCCGAAAGATACAATAATAGTAAATAAAACAGGTTACACATAATTTTTTTTTTTTTTGCCCGACTACACAGTTTCAACTGAATTCTCAGATATTAGAAGAAAAAGCATCCAAACTACAAATAAGCCAACCTCTACCACCAGCGCGTCTTCTGAGCCCTACCTCCGCCGCTGTCTCACCAACTCGGAAAATGAGGAAGGCTCACTGCGGCCGCCCAGGGCGCCCAGTGGTGAGGTCAGCAGCACGAAAGGCCCCGCCCCACTGAGGCAATCTTACTCCCTGCCCCAAACAAGCAAGGCCCAGTTGCCCCGCAATTCCAACTGCATCCACAGGAGGTGAGAGAAAACCCACTTTCATTCGTAGCACCCAGAAACTCATTCCTCAGTGATCCACAGGGCCACCTCTAGATACAACAATACCCACTGCCAAAGAGAGGGAAGGCTCTCCAACTCCTCCAGCCCCATGTTCAAGTTCACACATTGTCTGATATGATACTACTCCGAAGACCACACAGAAACAAAAGATCCAATTTTTACCAAGAATATCTATGTGAGAAGAGGGAACATTGACAAAATGATGAGCAACCATCTCTGCTCCCAAAGGCAAACTATTAGAAAATGGAAAGCTGAAGGTGGTATTTTCTCATCTGAAAAAAACAAGCTAAAATTATGATGAGAGAACAATAGTTGAGTACACCTACTGGGAATTAGTATAAGTCAACCCAACAGGAATACATAAACAAAAATATTATACGACATGGAGGAAATCTGAACACACTTATAACTTCAAGAAAACCCATCACCACCAAAAATCACCCATAATTCTCTGCAAAGAATTCTGTGATGCTCTCCTTGTCAGAGTCCTCCATCCCTAAAGAAAGAACTGCCTTTGTGATAGGTGTGGTGAGGGCCAGCTTAAAGAGTGGATGAGAAAGATTGTATCACAGGAAACCAGAGCTGTGCCATCCAGAACACTGATTAATGCGAGGCAGGAAGATCATTTGAAAAACAGGTAGAATGGCAGAGCTGTCACACAAAAACCAAGCCGCTAACTTGTCTAACCTAAACAGCCTGTTGCAATGTGCACATTTGAAGTTTTCAAACATATTTTCAGAAATTACTTTAAGACATGACCCAGATACTGTGTACATGGCCTCCAAATACAGGAGGAGAGGAGAAAAAAGATGGCTCCCTTTCGTTCCCACTACCAAATAGAAGATGTCAGAGAGGAGTGATGTGCAGAGTCCTAAAGCACAGAATCAGAAGGCACAAGATTGGATTGGACACAACAGTTGCCTAACCTGCTGGCAAAATTGAATGCAAGGGGCGGGCTCAAAACTATGAGAAGCCAGCAATTAGTTCCTCCTCCCAGGGTTCAGTTGTACTAACCTTTTCCATCTGAGTAATGGGTAAAGTGACCTATACTGCATCCTGGGAGGAACCATAATGCCAGCCGACTCCAAGTGAGGCCAGAAAGAACAATGGGTTGGGGAGGGTCTCGTAGAACATTCTCCATCTCTTTGTATGTCTACAGATCAATTTCATTTTTCATGGGACTTTATAAAAAGATCCCTGCCCTGCTGGATGGTCACTTTCTAAAACTCAAACCGATCCAAGAGGTGAGAAAAAGGAAGCACTTCCCATGAAGAGAACTGGTGCCTGTAGGCTGCCATGTAATTCACCATTTAGGCTGCTTTATCTATTCTTTAGCAGCACAAGTTAAGCCTGAGAGGCAATAACTTCCCAACTAGTTTGTGATTGGAATAATGAGCAATCAGAGCAGGCATGACTAGAGACACCATTGGTGATCTCAAGCCCCCTTTTAGAAAGATGAGGAAGCAGTCTGAGGTGAAATGACTTGCAGAATGCAAATCAGAAGCCAAGCAAAGGCTAGCGCTCAGACAGACCTTTAGCTTCCAGTTCAATGCTGCTAAATCGCACCACAGAAAACAAATATTTCACAAAGAGCAAGAAGGGAAGACAAGCAGGTTTCTGTCAGCCTTTAGCAGTCAGCGTAGAGAGAATACAGTCACCTCTAAGAGATAAGCCCAAGAGAGCTCAGTTAAGCAGGACTGTGCTAGTGAGGGGAATGGGGCAGTCATTACCTTTCAACACCAGAGGTTCCTTGCCTTCTCTCTTCAGGGACTCGAGGACTATATGAAGTGGCTGGGAGGGCATCACTCGGCTTGGCTCATTGGTATTCTCATCATAAACTATAATTTCTTTGGAAAAGATCCTCTTGAAGGAGTCCTTGCCTTCTCTACAGGAGATCAAGTCTAGAACCGTGATCTTGCCCTGCTGCAGTCTTCGCCGGCTGATCTTATCGGCACAGTTAATGTGGACAGCTCCTTGGATGTGACTCTTGTTGTACTCCATGAAGGGCCTGCAGTCAATGATGACAGGGCCCTGGCTCGGCAGGTGACTCTTGCTGCATTTGGTCATCTTCTTTGCCAAGTCATTAGGGTAGATTATTTTGATGCTGGCTAGCTGTTTGGGGGTCCCTGACACAGGACTGCCCACCCCACCTGATGGACTTAAACAGCCTGTATTCTCATTGTTGCTGACCATCTGGTTAACAGGGCAGGTGGTAGAGGTTCCGATGGCGGTGGTGGCAGTGCCTGAGGCGATGGCTTGGGTTTGGGCCTGATTGTCCTTGTCGTAGGTTGCCACAGTGCAGCAGCTGGCACTGCTGCATCCACAATTCAGGGAGCGGGCAGAGCCGCTGGATGAGGGCATATACGTCAGATTCGCAGCCTTGAGGGACACAACGGTGGTGGCAATGACAGGAGGGTGGCTGTTACTGCCCGGAATGGCAGAGCCAAGGTAGCTAGAGTCTAAACAAAGGTTGAGATCCTGAGGTCGGACGGGCCTAGACAGTGCCACTACTACCCTGTCGTCTAAAGGAGACGGAGGCATGAGGAGGCTGAAAACTGGCAATTCAAGAAGAACTCAAGATAGTCTGTAAAGAAGGGGGAGGGGAAAGAAAGAATAAAAACACATGATACAAAAGGCAGTCTCATCCAGTCCCTAGGAAAGGCTTTTGCATCCCTCCAAGTTGAGTCCTCTTAAGTGCCCTTTTTTTTCTGATTGCTGCTAGCAAAGCTGGATGGATTCAGAGGAGGATGCAAACCTGAGGAGCCCCATCAGCGTTGCTGTGAAGTCTGGGGTTCAATTTAGACTTTATGCTGTCATCGTTAATGCACAGCCTTTCACGGACTCACGTCAAGGTTCAGCCTTCTAGAAGGTACAAGCAGGAGGAAATGGGAAAGCCAAAGACATGGAGGAAGGTCCGGTTCTTAAGGGGCATCTGTTTGAGCCTCATGCCTTGAGCAGAAGAGCCTGCAACTGAGAAGAACCCATTTCCCCTCCCTTGCCAGCTTCCTGTTCCATTCCTTCACTTCCTGCAAAGGCAGAGGGATGAACAAGAGCGTTGGCATGGCTCACCAGATATATACAGCAGCTAAATATACATCAGGGTGGACATCAGCCTTCTACCCTGGAGGAGGAAAGTATCCCGCACGCCCTCCACCCCCGCCCAGGTGAATCTCTTCCTTCAGGAGCTCATCTGCGGTCCTTTGAAAAGCATAATGTACTCATATTAAAACCTCAGGTTCCTTCTGGTAGCCTCATCAATTGCTCCTCGTTTCCCCCCAAACAAAATCGCCAACCACACAGTCATCTCTGGAAACCCCAGTTCTGTACCCCTGCCCTCTTCAGCTCCGCTTCTATGCATCCTAGAGCTTATCTCAATGGGCAGCAGCTGCTTTGCCTAGGATTTTAATCCCTTACAGGGTAAGACTGAGATAAAAACCACTTTCCCTCTAGCCTGTTGTGCCTGTTGAAGGGAGCCATTAAGTGTAGCCCCGGAGTTGGCCTCTGGTGTGCCCTTAAAGGCCACCTCAAGAGGGCGGGTGCCTTCCTCTCTGCGGGCTGGTGGGCACCCTACAACTGGGCCCTGCTGACTCCTGTCTATGAGACACGCACGCAGCAGAGAAACTAACCCGCCAGCCAGAGCAGCTCAGGCAAACGAACTTTAAGAGCTGTCGGGGGAGAAAAAAATGTCATCTACCATCGGTCTACACAGGACCGTCACCCTTCTCTAGCAACAGAGCCAGAGAGGCACAGGCGGGATCCACACACAGGCACGCACACAGGGGCACGCACCCACCACGTCCGCAGGCCCCACCGCCTCGGGGGGGGTTCTCTTAACGCACCTTTGGATGGGAGCTTAGGAGCCACCCGCTCTCCCCCACCCCCACAACGCGCTCCCTGGCGTAGTATTCCTCCCTCCCCCCAGGAGCGAGTACTATTCCAGAAGCTGTAACTGTCTCCCAGAGGGACCGAGCGCACCAAAGTCTTGCCTATCTTGTTACCTGGCGGGGACATGCCCAGGATCCACGGTGCGCTTCCTCTGACTGAGGTACCTAAGCGCGGCCACGGACCACGGCGCCGGGACCCCCGCCTGCACCCGGGGTGCGAGGCTCGCACACACGCACGGGGCGCGCAGACCTCCCTGCAGCCCTGCAGCAGACGGCCGGGCGTCTGACCATCCTGCCCGGCCCAGGAAACCTTCGGAGCTGTGTGCATCCTCCCCACGCCACCACCACCTCGTCCCTTCCCCACCTCTTCCCTGGTCAGTCGCCCCTTTGCGCCACTAGGCAAGGGATTGGAGAGAAAAACCCAGAGCTGTGCGAAGGCTCCTTTCCCACTGCTGGGGCACTGAACACCTACTACTCCCTTGCCTTCGCCACACAGCGCACCGAGAAGCCCCGGGCATTTAAAACTGCCGCAAAGCATCCCAACACACCTCGCTTCTGTTTGGCTCCCGGGCCAAGTAGACTGCGGAGCGAGCCGTCGCGCCGGGCAGCGGGGCCAAGAGCTCCGCGCCTGGGAGCCTACCTGCCGGGGCTCGGTGGTCAGCATCGCGCCTCTCACTCTCTCTCTGTCTCTCTCACACACAGCACGCACGCACACGCTCCAACCTCCGCTCCCGGGCTCTCAGTCCCACCGGGACTTTCCACTTACTTCATCAATAAGTGTAGCCCTCTCCCCTCTGGCGCTCGGCTTCAGCTACCGACTGGCGCCTTCAGCCCCCATTCACTCGGCTTCATTGATCTCCAGCAGCAACATAGTTACTTTCTTTTTTGCTACACAGTAAATGTAAGATTCTGAGGGGGCGGGCCGTCCTGCGACCGACGGCGCCCGGGACCAATCGACACCCGGAGAAAGCCGACCGCTACCTCACAGGGGTCGGCGGCCAATGGGCGGCCGCCGGGGGCGGGGCCGGAGGCGGGGCCCTGCCTCGTCAGGGCGGGTTTCTCCGGCCTGGCTCCCGGGCCTCTGTGATCCAACACGGGCGGTGATGTCATTGGCAACCAATCAAAAACTTCAAAGAGCCGGCCGGGGCCCGCGCGGAGCAGCTGCTCTCTATTTACATGTAAACCGGCCGGGCCGGCCGCCTTTAACCCTTTCCGGGACCGAATTGTCAATGAGCCGCTCAGGCCGCTCGCGCTGAGCCCGGCTGGCTCTTCGCCTCGGACGGGAGCCTCCGGCCAAGCGCCCCTCGGGCTGAGGCACGACCCACCGGCCGCTCCCTTCCGCCCCCTCCGGACCGACGCTCCAAAGTGCCCAAGGAACTTTCTTAAAAAAAGGTCTGGGACCACCACCCATCTGCGTCTCTACCTGAGACAGGGAGCCGCTGGAGGTGACCTGACAGACCCTCCCCGGCCTTCACCGACGACGCCCAGCCTCCCTCAGAGCCCGTCCGGCCCGGCGGCCAGCGAGGGGCTCCCCCCGGGGCTCAGGAGCCGTCAGCCTCCCCCTGGAACCCCCCGGCTGGGAGGCCGGCCCGGCAGCCCCGCTCGGCCCCGCGCCGCCGGCGAGCACCGGCCGCCCGCCCGCAGATGTCGCTGCCCCACCGGAGGCCCCACTGGCACCCCGCGCAGAGGCAACGCGCTGCCCTCCTGTTCTCCCCTGTCCGCGACCCGGTCACGCCCCCACCGTCGCCGGCCTGGGTCCCCGGGCTGGACCCTGAGTACACAGGTGGCGCCTCGGAGGAGGCGGGGGCCTGGGGCCACGCCTGGTACGATCGGGCGCTGGCACCTCGGAGCCGCGACACCGGTGCCGACCCTCAGGGTCAGCCGTCCCGGGGCCCGCGGCACTCCGGCTCCCGGCCCGGTACACCGCCGCAGGCGCCTGCCACGCCGAGACCCACGCGGCGCGCCGGATCCCCGCAGCCCGTCCGCGGCGCGGGCCTCGGCCGCCGTCCCTCCATCCTACACGGTCCCCGGCAAGCCGAGGACCGCCAGCCCGGCGCTCCTGGAACAACGGCCGCCGGCCGAAAGGAACCAGAGCCCGGCTTCGCTAGGCTGGCGGAATGCAGCCGGAGGAGCGCCCTAGAACCCGCGCTGCCCCCGCCGGTGCCCCCAGCTTTGACCGCTGGCAGGAGAGTGGCTGGCCGGTGCGGGGGTCCCGGGGAGAAGAGTAGGGGCCGGGGCAAACCGCTGGTCGCCGCCTCGGGAAAATGTCAAGAAAATTTCAGGAAAGTTGCCCTGGCTGACAAAAAGGACTGGAAAAGCCCAGAGGAACTGTGGAGATACTACAACAAAGAATCCTAGAGAAATGGGGCTTTTTTGCCCTCCCCTCTCCTGGGGAGGAAGGGCAATAACCACAATGGAGTAAAGCGCTAAGAACACTTTGGAATGTTTGCCTGTGATTGATAGATTTTCATATTCTTTCTCCCCCCCCCCTTGCCAGCCTGGACGTGTCTGGAGGCCAACGTCAGACCCCAGATATTTATTTATTTATTAACCATAATAAATAAACTAAGTAGTGAGGCATACTGCTTCCAGTGCAGGTCTGAACCCAGCAGGGGGCTAGGTACAGCTAGCTGGCTGACCAACCATGCCAATACACTGTTGAGAAGCTTCCCCCTGCCCATTTCCCTGAAATAGTCCAACTTCTCACACTTAAGTTTTTCTGCCTTCCACAGTCCAACTTCTCACCCTGAAGTTTCAACAAGCATCACTCCCCCAGGGTTCAGTCCTCTTCAACAGGAAGGGGTCGTGTGTAGGCCACCCCTGTACTCAGACGTGCACACTGCATGCACTCGCCCCCTTGTTGACGCAGGAGTGCTTAAGGCATCCGTCCCCTTGGGTTCTGAGCCTTGAAGATCAGCAGATCGTGGCCAGGTGTAGGAGGACATAGTGACCCTAGAAGGTCAGCGAGCACAGGATTACACTTGATTGGCTAATATTTGCATGAGAACAACCGAATGGCTACCTTTTGTATACCTGATTGGATATCATTTGTATAAGAACAGTTGAATGGACAGTACGTGGAATATGCAAGACAAAAGGAGTTCCAAACAAAAGCATAGAAACTGTTACTGGGTTTTGTTGATCAGCTCAATACTTCCTTCCTTATCCCATAGGACCCTCAGTGTATAAAGTCTGATACCACTAATAAACTTCGGCTTTGACCATTAGTCAGGATCCACGTGTGTTATCGGCTCCGTGCACCAAGTCCATCGCTGCGGGACAGCGACAGCCAGGAAAGATGGTTTGTAAGCAATCTTCATAGAAATTGGATCTTCCCTCTTCTTGGTTCTCACTGGAGATCATTGTGCTCATTTGTTTATCATGCACAGCAATACCTTAGTGCAGAAGTGAAGCAGAAAGGTACCCCTTGCAAGTACCTGGGTGAAGAACAGTTGCTACAAAAGGCACTCAGGAGGAAAGCACTGCACTGGCTTTGGGGGATGGCGCGCCTCTAACGGCGCTTAGGATTTGTGTATTATGAATTCATTGCTAACACCTCAACCTCTGAGTCCAACATGGGGATTTATACGATTTCACGGGAAAAAAAAAAAGCTAATAGCTTTCCCACAGACCCAAAAGAAAAAAGTAACCACAAAAAGAGACAATTCCCTTCACGAGATGATGATTACAGCTTCAAATCAGTGAATTATTATAATCCAGTTGACTTAAGAATCCAAGAAACCATCCAGATGAAAATTAAGATTGCAAAATTTCCCGTTTTTAAATCTAAAACATGGGATAATGACCAAATCATTAACCAGTTGTATTTTTCTAAAATTAAGCACTTCTAAGAATTTATATTCAGAATATAGAGCAGTAGTGTTGTACGTGACCAAGTCAAAGATTTGACTCAGGTGTTAGACGAGCAGTGAAGAATGTTGTAGGGTGCAGCCAATGATAGCTAGCACCCATTGACAGCGGGCAAATGAAATGTGTTTGTGCCCACTCTGCCCTGAAGGTGGGGCCTAACAGCAATGGAGTGTTAATTCCATCCTCAACCACTTCCACCACCACCACCTAGCTTTTCGCTCCTGCCCACCTGTGACTCACCTATCATCTGAGAGGGGACAGTATTGTATTGTCTTGTAACCACTCCTCTCACAAGCCCCTTTAAAAGGCCCATGAAGCAGGGGTTCTCTCTCTTTTTGGTCAGGTGTTTCCGTTACTCTGGCACCTTGACTCTTGTCTGACCCAGGACAGGTAATCCCCTGAGCATGGTCCCTGTGCAGTGCTTAGATGGGACAATGGATATAATAATGTTGTTTCTGGTCTGTGTGCTGTCAGAAGTTCCAGGAGAGGTGAGGCCTAGCAGTGATGAAATGCGGGCAGAGAAGTCAGGGAAAAGTGAATGTCTGCAGCTTTGTAAGTGTGTCCAGGTTATTTGGTGCATGTCTCTTAGGATAGCTTATATTGTTGGGGAAGGTGGGACATAGGTCTTTAGCTTAACGGATGGACTTAAGGATAATGACCATTTGTTCCTCTTGGGATTATGTTTGGTTGGTTATGTTTGATTGGATTGCCATATGGACTTGTGATCTGGTATTTCTAGTATGCTCTATTATCACCAAGTTTGGTTAATAAAGACTCCTTAATCAACCTTAAACATGTCTGGTGTTATCTCACCCATAACAGTAGAAAAAAAAATCTCAGTACAGAGCTGCTTCCAGTTACTTCTATGTAGACATGATTTTGTTCCTGTCTTTGAGTAATGATGTGAAAATGTCACCTGAACACTCCCCTGAGACTGGAATTTGTAATGCCAGTCCACCAGCAGCTGTGTGTCTGACCCTTACCCACCAGCTGGAACCTTCATGTTCAATGGTAGTGAATTCAGAGTGAGGTATCTTCATCCTATCGAGCTAGTCAGAACTTTGTTCCTATAAATATTAAAGCATTGCGTGTTTCAGTGCTACGCATTCAAACATAAAACATGAAATTTATGCCAACATAAGAGATGGGCTGTATGCACAACTGGACTCAAGAAGTTATTTTTTGTGCAATCATTCGGCTAAGCATGTGGGATAATGGCAGACGAGGTAGAATCTTCCATAATAATCTTTAAGGAAAAGGTCCTGAAGGTCCTTGAATGAAAGCACAGGATAAAATTATAACAAATGGCAGCATAATTATGAGTGGAAAAGTGGGGAATGAGCTAAGGAATAAAAAAGTGGGGTGTTAAACAACAGAGGTCTTCAGGGCCAGCTGAATGGAATATTTTGCAATATGCCATCCAGGCCCAGGGAACACCTGAGGTGATCTGCAGGAGGTGGCAGCTGTGACCTAAATGTGTCCCCTAAGACTCACATGCTGAAGATTGTCAATGTGACAGTATTAGACATGGGGCTCTTAAGGAGTGACTAAGTCACCAGGGTGGAACCCTAGGGTGAGGCCCTGATCCAAGGACCTGAGGAGGTGCACATGTTGCCTTCCAGTCCTTCCACCATGTGAAGCCTCAGGGATCGGGGACCCCCTCCCTCTCACCCCAGAGAACACAGAATAAAATGCCATTTTGGAAGCAGAGACTGAGCCCTCGACAGACACCAAGTCCACTGGTGCTTTGATCTTGAACGTCTCAACCTTCAGATCTGTGTGAAATTTCTATTCTTTATCAATTACCTCGTCTCATGCACAGGGTTATAGCAACACAAATGGATGAAGATGGTGAGCATTGCAGTGGTGGAGACAGCAATGCGATATGATGTCACGCTTCTTGAGTCTACGAGGCTTTCACTATAGAGTGCATCTGGGACCCAGGGAGCAGTCCTGAGTCACTTGCTCTTCTCTCTGTTTTCTCTATGGGGCCATTTATGACATGTAGCTATTGAATACTTGACATGTGCCAGTCTGAACTAAGAGGTGCTATATGCTGAAAGTTCAAATCGA